TCATTGACCAGTGGATACAAAAGAGAGAAATAAAAGAGGTGCTTAGGTCATTTCTGTGTCAGGGCTATAGAAAAGCTTTCAAGGTCTTTATAGGGTAATTATAAAGAAAGTGTGAAACAAGATGATACTAAAATAAAAACTTGGAATCAAGAGGTACTTAATATAATTTTAAATATGTTGTGTTGAGATGAATCACAGTTACATTTTCAATTATATATGAATAAATAGTGCCTAGTTTATTAATAGAATTGCAAAAATATTTTGCAAGTTGTACTTTTTTTTTTGCATCTCACGTATTAAGAAGTTTACCATTTTCTTGCGCTTCTTAAGCCCTCCTTCCCCTGCTCCTTTCTCCTGAATGTTATATACATGTGTTAAAATATTAATGATTTTTAAATAAAAAGTGTGAAGCATCAGTTACTTCCCTTAGAAAATTCTTGAACATAAAAGAGCAGGCTTCACAGAACTGACTGTCATCATGCCCAGTCCCCTGGCTCAAAGACAACTTTAGATGCTCCAGGATCAATGAGTTCTGTGGTCCCCATTGTGTGGATGCAACACTTGGGATTGTGTGTGAATTATTTTGGTTCACACAAATCTAGGAAAATTTGGATCAAGTTATAAAACAATTTTAGGAATATTCTAAATTCAAGTGATGACTAAATGCCTCATATGATTTGAAAATCAGGAATCCCTGTAACCTTCAGGTGTCCTCAAATCTCTGGAGAATCAAGCGAGGTTGACTCTGTGTTTGCAGCAAGAGTCTTTCTAGTCAATATAAAACATTGGAAACAATGGTCATTTCTGATGTTTTATTATACAGTTGCAAAGCATATTGAAAAATGCATTCCATGCGGCATTATTTGCAAGTTTATTTGTGATGACTGTTTGGTGCATAGAGAAAATACACTTGGCATAAAACGTGTCACATTGTTACATCCAGCCTTCGGGTATTTGGATTACTTATACAAAATAAAACACAAGTTTGTCAGCTCATAAGAATCCTAGGGACATTGTCCAGGGAGTTAAAGCAGGCACAAGGGAAACGTGGTATCATGACAGGATATATGGTGAATGTGGAATCTGGAAGATGTAGGCTCAAGTTTCAGCCCTCCCACTTATTCTTGTAACCTTGGCCACATCACTTAACTTTCCGAGTGTTGGTTCCCTTATTTGAAAATGGTGGGAACAATTTCATCAACCTCTTGCTTCATTCGGTTGTTGTGAATTTTGTTTGTTATTTGTTTATACTCTCTCTCATTCCACAAAGGATTTGGAATGGCATGTGTATATTTGATGATAAAGTGTATTTGTCAGTGCTTTGTAGATTATACAAATATAAGCTACCAGCCATTACTTTCAGGACCATTTGTATTCCTGGGGAGGTCTATTCCGTAGAATGAAGTGCTTTTAAGCAGATGTTGCAGAGACTTCCGTTTAATAATTTCAAAGAAAACAAATATTTATCCATGTGTGACATAGACGGGTTATAGGTACCAATTTAAAGTAAACCCACAGGAAAAGGAAGACTATTCAAGACCTTTAGATTGAAAACTAAGTGCAGCTAATAAAATTATTGGATTCTCACATACTTAATGGCCTTTAATTGAAAAGACTTTGTATAATGACGAGGTCTTAAGGATTAAGTAACTCTTTTCAGTACATTTGTATTTTGTTAATCATAGCAGACATGCACAAACATTCAAAAAAGAGTAGAACTCATAGGTGTGAGTCATTTTTATTCAGCTTAAAGACAATGCTATTGTTGCACTTAGAATTGGAGGGTACCTCACAATAACACAGAGGCTTTGAAATATCAGTGGTCTACTAGTCCCTTTAATTCATTTTATTATCACGTGCCATTTGCCTTAATCTTGAGTTGCTAATCGTGCTTATCTGCCCTCTGCATCTAAAGCCTCCAGAAAGATTGCTCTGGCATGGCCTAATAGCTTTTATCAGCTCACCCAGTGGCTCTTAAGCCTTGATGCTTGAAACCCAGGAGTTAACCACATGGTGCCAAGCCCTTCTGAACACGTCAACTGCTTTCCTCGGTAATTGATTGCTGTTTAAGCCAAGGCAGCCACAAACTCTTCTCCTCCTTCCCTTTGTCAAAGTGAAAGGGAACCTGAGGACAGAAGATAGTGGCTCTTTTGCCACACCCCCTCCAACTCTCATGGCTTAATTTACTTAGAGAGGAATTCCTGGGCATCTTATGAATTGCAACAAGGTTGGACCCTTTCTCACTTTTGTCTTGTATTTTAAGCTCCTTTGATTTTTCCCTCTAGTATCTATATAGTATATCTGGCTGATTGTAAAATTGTTAATAATCTATACATTTCAACTTCTCTGACAAACATGCTTGCTTTTCCTCCTTTCCTGCAAAAATTGTTTAGGGAAATTTATTAAGTGAGCTTCCGTTGTCTTTTAAATCTAAAAAAAAAAAAACCCATTTCCTAAAAATTGAAACTTTTGAAAACATTCACTTGACATTACGGTTCATGTTACACAGAAAAATTATAAAAATCATGGAATAACTCTCTTCCCGGCCTTTATAGTAAATAAAACTGCATTTTCAGTGACTACATGAGAAATACAGCTTTGCAATAAACATATTCAACAATTATGATTTCTCTGAAAATGAAGAGTTAAAAGATTGAGGATCCACATGCATGAGAGAGAGAATAGTACACTTTAGTGGTTAAAATGCTGTGACTTCAGCAAGGATTGATGAGCCGATTTCTGGGTTCCCATTTACCATTTGGGAATCCTTAAACAGTTATTTAGACTCTCTAAGACTTCATTTCCTCACATATAAAATGGTGATGATGCTCCTAACTCACAGGATTTTCCGAAGATAAAATGAGGCAAATATGTAAAGTACCTAATAAAATACCCGGCACGTAACAGCCACCAAGTAAACGGCAGCAGCTATTGCTATAGTTTTTGTCATTGACAAGCAGAGAAAAAAAAAGTTGGATTTTTTAGGATTCTTTCTGCTAAAAACAGTTTAGAATACTTCCCTCAGACATACCATAATGTCAAAGCAGGAAGCGGGGAGGTTGCCTTGGAAGAGCCGAGCAGAGGCGAGATTCTATGCTGGGAGAGCCACAGCCCACATTTCAGACTGACTTGTCCCTGCTATTTTGCAGTGTCACACGATGTGACAGGGCTACCTGTCCTGGACAGGTTAGCTGCTTCACTGCATTTAACAATGTCACCTCAGTTTTTATTAACAGAAACTTTACACTTCTTAATCCCATCCTTGCAAGGAATAGAGAGTCTCTCTCTCTCTCCCCTCCCCCCTCCCTGCTTCTCTCCTCCAGAGAAGGAGCTTAACACACCATTTGGGATTCTGTAAAAACAGAAAAGATTCAAGTTTAAAATAATACAAGTGAGTGGTTGAAAAGCGGCACATATACCTTCAAGTTTGCCTTCTTAGCCCTTTGCATTTACATCTCGTCTTTCAGAGAAACAGAATTCATCTTTAATGTGCCTTGTGCCTCTCACTCCTTTGTATTTAATTGGCCCAGTGATTTCCTCCGCTTAAATTTAGCATTTATCAATCACAGCTAGCAATGCATGTTATCGTGTTAACAGAAAATTCCACAGGACCCTCTTCACACTGGGGAAGGGGAACATCTGCTACTTTTATATTAGGAGGCCAGGATTTAGAGGTCAGTGTGTTTCCCCATCAAGGCTTAAGGCTTTGGGGATCAGGGGAAGTGTCAGGCTCCAAGCAGCATAATGAATGGCAGTTGCTGACTGGCTAGGTTTGCCCGTTCTCAACAGGGGATAGTGCTGTTCAGCCTAATGAGCTGGGACTTTGTGTGCTAAACATACCCAGCTTGGGGAGTGAGGCAGGCTGTGCCTCTTTTTTAATTTTTTTCCTCTCCCAGCTCTGAACTGTATTTTCATCTTGGAAGAAATTATATTGAGGTCTTCATTAGTGGCACCCAGCAGGGTTAAGGCTCCATGAGGGCTGATAAGCTGTGTGGCTAAAAAACCCATCAGCCTTTGTTCAGGGAGCTGAAGGTTTAAGTTGCTTGAACTGGAAAGAGTCTGAAGAGGTGATTATGTTAAGCAAGTAATGTGTATCGGTAACATGGAATCAAATTATTAGGGTCAGTAACTCCTGGCTTTCCCGGTGCATTAAATGAAGACATAACATTGCATTTGTGCCGGGTACTTGTGGATGCCACAGAGTGTCAGCACGGTCTGGTCATATGTACTTCTCAGCATGTCACCTCTAATTTCATGGGATTTTCTGCACTGTTGCTTTAATAGAAACTCACGATCTTGAGTTTCCTTTGAACTCACAGCAGGGCAGTGCAAAGTCATTATTGCAAGCACTTCTGTGCTTTTTGTGTTATATATAAAATTATCATTACTATCATTTAGAATGGTAGATATATCTTGCTCTCACGCATCCAAAAGTGTACAACTTCTTTGCTGATATGGGAAGCTACTGAAGGGGAAAAGCTGAATGTGAAAGACCTTCCTGGGGCCTAGTATTAGAAAGGTGTCAAGGCAGTAAATTAGTATTAGAAAGGTATATAGGCCCATGGTTCTCAAAGTGTGGTCCCCTGGCCAGCAGCAGCACAATCACCCAGGAACTTGTTAGAAACGCAAGGCCTACTGAATCAGAAACTCTGAGATGGGATCAGCAAACCGTGTTTCAACAAGTCTTCTAGGTGATGCATGATCAAGTGTGAGAAACACTGCTGTAGCATTTATGGATTCCAAGAATGGGATGGACCCACATGTTCTGGGGGTAGAGCAGTAGACAAGACAAATGAAGTCTCTGCTCCCATGGACCTTATTAAATTACAAAGGACTCTGTAGTACTTCACCCTGATAAAATATACATGCCCAACAGAGCCTATAATTATCATACATACTATTTTATTCTTTGTTTGAATTAGCCTGTTGTCGTACGGTCTTTGCTTTCAGAGAATGACTAACAAATGATGACTAATAAGCAATTCCTTTGTGCATTTCAGAACCGTCCCCCTTGCCATTTGTATCTCCATGGCCGTCGTCACCGTTGGCTATGTGCTAACAAATGTGGCCTACTTTACGACCATTAGTGCCGAGGAGCTGTTGCTGTCAAATGCGGTGGCGGTGGTAAGTCCAAGTTGAGAAAAGGCCAATTTGAATTTAGGTTAATGAGTTGATGCAATTTCACAGTAGTTCCCTCCAGCAGAAAGTGTTTTGAAATTCAGTGATCATTTCTTGACCTGAATAATAATGAGCATTTAAAAATTTTAGAACACACCTTAGCATACTCCATTTAACTGATACAGCCAAAGTCCTATATGATTTCTCTGCATTGTTCATTTCGTGTAAAACATTTCCCCATATTCATGCTTGAAAACACATTTCCATGTGTGCATGTTGAACAGAAGATAGTATTCTTCCAACGTGACTTTCAGGATAGGTGGGCAGTTACTGAATTTAAATGAATGTATTTTTTGGTACACAAATTGTAATTTATTCTGTACTCTTTCCTGTTTGTAAACTTTTCAAATGCTAACTTAAAATCTTTTTCCCAAAGTACCGCTTGAGAATTTCCAAGGGATGACCATATATAGTTGTTTGTTCTAGTATATCCTTTTGAATACCAGTAATAGGATATTACTAATTTTTAGAAATGCTGAGTTATTCAAAGTTAAACAGATGTCATTGCTACAGCACTTCTCAGAATATTAAAGATGCTAATGTACATTTTAGCTCCCTAAGAAGTGGATACTCATAATTTTACAGCATTTTCCAAAATTTATTTGACTTCAGGACCATCTTTGCTCTCAAAGGTCAGGTTATGGGCCTGTTATTCTGTGACACAGACTTTTATTTTGTATAAAAACTTAGCTGGTAAGGGGGCATTTATTCATGACCTCATAACAATGAAAGGTGAAAAAGTAACTTCCCATCACTAGATGTCAGTTCCTTTTAAAATAGTCGCTATTACCTCATATAGGCAACATCCACAGGGAACAAATTATCTCATTTCATGTGAACCTATGTACGTGTTCACTGTATTAAAAAAAAAAAAAAGACTTTGCCGCTGCTGTAAGTCCTACCAGACAACCAAGTGTCCAGAACTTACTGAGGTTGGGTCAGCTATCTTGTCTTACTAGACAAAGGGCACCACTTACTCTTTGAGTGTAATGTGGTCTATTAATTACACAGCACCAGCTGCATCAAGGACAACTAAGGAACCCCACACAGTTTTGTGTGTGTGTGTGTGTGTGTGTGTGTTTAATACATCCTTCATGGAAATTTGCAGTGTTGCCTGTGCCATGGCATAAAAGGAAATTTCAGAAGTTTTGTCATTTATCTTTCATATTTTCTGTGGCTGGATTTTCTCGTTGTATTTGTATTCTAGCCTTTTTATAGGAAGCCACAGAAGGAATTGGCAGATACCTGAGAGGGAGGGAGGGACTCAATAAACAGACATTCAGCTAATGTGATTATTTGGGGCAAAAGATTTTCAGAACTGCTCGTATATGCGATATAAATGATTAAGTCATCATTATATCTCACTGTACTTCTGTGTCATAACAGAAGGACTGGCATATGAAACAAGTATCGGTGATACTTCTCGGTGTACCTTTGTACTTCGCTATCAAAATGTGGCTTTCCAGGCTAAAGGGAAGGCATTTTACAGAAGGCTTTCTGTTTCCAATAGGAGAACTTCTGAATTGAGCTTTTTCTACCTACCAGAATCAGAGATGATAGATATCACAGTTGATAAAGATTCCATAAATGGATCGTTGATTTTTGAAAGTAGAGAGAAGGTGCTTGTTTAGACCTTTGCCCATAGTTTTGCAACAAGCAATGCCATGGTACTTGCTTTTGATTATTGTCTAAGAAGTTCGTCTGACCCTAACCAAAAAGAAAGATTATAAAACATACATGTATCAGCAGGCTAAGAAAGTCATAGAGCGAGTTTGGACTAAATTGCTTCATTTTATTTCACTTTCTGGCAGAGCATTAATTTGCTTCATTCTGTCTTTCACTAGACCTTTTCTGAGCGGCTACTGGGAAATTTCTCATTAGCAGTTCCGATCTTTGTTGCCCTCTCCTGCTTTGGCTCCATGAATGGTGGTGTGTTTGCTGTCTCCAGGTGAGTGAGTTCAAGCATTTCCAGAAATGCATTTCTGTTTTTGAGATTGGATGTGATAAGGGTAGGTTTAAAAAGAAAAGAAATAGTGCCTCCAAAGCTGTTGTTTTTAAAGAGACATTAAGATTGAAATCTTTGTCCAAGTATCAACAGCATGTCTCATTCTGCCCATTAGAGGGCACTGCTTGTCTACTCATAGCCTACGCTGAAGCCGGGCATGGAGCCTTTTTTTTTTTTATAGTATGTCTACAGAGTCTAACAACAGCATTTTATTTCTGGTGATAAAATCTTTTGTTTCTCTAAAAGTGACAAGAAAAAAAGTAAAGTAAGAGACGCCAGAAATCACCACCCTACCACCCGTATCCCTTTTGTTTTGTTTGATACAAAAACCCCTTTTATTTTAACATAAGATTAAGATCCAATCAGAAAAATGTAAATGTTACGCGTGTACATGGGCATGTCTATGTGTGTGCGTACCTGTGCATGTGTGTGTATGTTGGGCTGGATTGGATGGACAGCACACATACAATACTAGGAATCTAGAACTATTCCTATGTAGGGAGAGCCATGCTGAGCCGGATGTTGCTATTGTGTCTCCTCAAAGAATAAGAGAAATTATTGGCAGATTTTATAAAATTCGAAGTCAGATTTCTCTTGATGATTCTCTGCCTTACCTGAACAGTGAAACTGAAGTAATCCACCTAAGAAAAGCCAAACCGTTTGATATGGAATTAGATGCAAGTTTTCTCTTAGATTTCTGGATTTTTCTCTTTGAAATGATCAATTGTACAGTCAATGCCAGCCACGTTTTTCTCCCATCAGGTTATTCTATGTTGCGTCTCGAGAGGGTCACCTTCCAGAACTCCTCTCCATGATTCATGTCCGCAAGCACACCCCTCTGCCAGCAGTTATTGTTTTGGTAATGCATATTAAAAAGTATACCTACATATAAGTTTGAATAACCAGTTAGCAAAGAGGATTTCAAAGCAGACTTTAGATAGGGCTTTACTTTCTCATTCATTGCTGGATTGGCTCTGTGTGTATCTTGGTGGAGTTTGGGAGGCAGGATATTTTCCATCGCTTCCCTTTGTTCAGTATTTCCGATGCATATTTGATGCTATGGGGCAATAGGCACATCACTTCTTTTTCGCCTCTGTAGAAATTTGCGAGCTCTGAGGGAAATGACTACCTTGGCTTCTGTCATTGACACAGAACCTCACAGAAAAGGATGTAGAGCAACAAGTCCCAATTCTGCGAACTGAAAGTGGAGCTAAAAGCCACAGTCCAGAAACACCTAGGTGTACATTATAGTATCGTAGGCCCCTTATAGTGAAATGCATACAAAACTAATAGAAAAAAATTGCGTGAAGTCCTAGACAGTGCAGTAATTCTGTGATTAACAGTGAGCTATCTGAGACCAACTCTATAGGGAAGAAATAAAAGCACCAAAACTGAAATTTGAGTTGTAGAATTCTTAATGCAAAGTGTTTGTGAAGCATGGGATACAAAAAACTGCATAAGGTGCAAAAGTCCTTTATTATACCCATTGGCAATGTTATATTCATTTTTACCTACTATTTTTGTAACATTTTTGTCAAGTGGAATCTGCTGTCAGGAGCACCATAGAATACATTGGACATTTTGTTTCATGTATTTAATTTGTTTCAGAATGTTTCCTTTGAAATCTCTTCGTAAAGTATGCATACTCTGTACTCTCTGTGTGGAATCTGGAAGTTAAACCGTCACTCGTGGGAACAGGATGTATTACTCGGTGGAGAGGGCTTCCATTTTAAGCCTCTGCTATCAGTTGTGCTGTCCTTGGCGTGTGCAGCTGCAGAGACTTGCTATGCTGATCTCTGTGCTTCATTCTTTTCTGTGGTCTTGAGGGTCACACATGGCAAGCGCAGGGGGAGAGTAAGTGTGGGGGAAGGAAAGGTCAATATTTTGCATTCAGGAGTCGGCAGAGTCACCTCGAAGTGGCTGTGTTTCACGTGTGTGCATAGCCAAGGGCTTGTCAGAAACCATTTACAGAGTGCTCTGCGAATTTTCTAATTGGGTACACTTTTGATTTTTAGTATTAGTTATTTGCTAACCATCTCAGTGTCTGGGTCTTTAAGTTTAAGTCATTGACTATCCTGTGTTGTACTCTTGGAAAACACGTTCTCTTCTCTCAAATGAAAAAACAACTAAGAACTACACTTCCATATAACATTCCATCTGATTAAGTGGTAATGGTGATGATCTTCTCACGCTGTTACTGGTGCGTAATGGGGTATAAGAGCAGAATATAGATAAGAAGTTAGTTGAATATAGGTTTTAATCACTGTGGTCATTTATCAGTATAAATAATCATGTGTAAAAGGTAATCATAATATGTAGTGATGTTATTGTTTGTTATCACCTGTGCTCTCTTTGAACTCACTGAGCGAGGTTTTTCTCCCCCTTCACCCTAGTACCCTTTGACGATGATAATGCTCTTCTCTGGGGACCTCTACAGCCTTTTGAATTTCCTCAGTTTTGCCAGGTGGCTTTTTATTGGGCTGGCGGTTGCTGGGCTGATTTATCTTCGATACAAACGCCCAGATATGCATCGTCCTTTCAAGGTAACCTCAGTAATCTTGATGGGTTTACATAAATCTTTCTTCTAATACCTAGTCCTCCCTTTGTCATAACTTGGTGATGAGGAGCTTGGGCGGGGGGCAGCATCCTCTGGAATAAAATATTTAACTCTTGCAGGTAGTGCCTTCATGTTGAATTTATGTTAGCTTGGAAAAATAATTCATCAAGTCGTTTATGTGATGTACCCAACTTTGTATGTCACATCTCTGAAAAGGGGTAGATATATAGATATATATATAAGGTATTTGTTATGTTGCTATTTCTTGGATGTGTCTAATGACCTGATGTGTTCAAAGTGTGGGATACTTGTATCTTTATGCTGAGTAATTGTGGATAACCATGCTGAGAAAGAGGGAGGCAGATATATGTGGAATTGTCACTAATTGAAACTCTACAAATGATGCTGCTTTACAAAACAGTGATTTTAAGTATTCTTAAATCTTACGACTTGTGACATTGCTCTTTTTTTACATTATATATTCTAGAAGGAATAAAAGTGTACACACATGGGGAAAGTGAAGGTATATGTATGAATGTACCACTTAAGAGAATACCTTTTACTATAACCAAGCATTTCCTTTTGGGAGGGCTGATGAATCTATTTCTCATCTCCTTTAACCATGAATGTTCATGGATTGATTTGACCTCACTATTTATTTGCTTTTAAAAAATAACACAGATAATGTTGTCAGTCATGTTGTCAGAATTTGTTTCTAATTACATCCATTGCCTAATGCTAGCAACATCTTTATTAGTGGTTGAATAGGAGTTGGTCTGTTTTATTCCTGTCAGTTCTTATTGTGAATCTCCAACAGAAAATCAATATGCACTGAAAGACTTTAACATGTAACAAGCAGCCGTTGCTCTTGACTCTACATTAAAGCAGATTCTAATCATAATTATCAGAGCCAACCTTTTAAAATAAAAAACATAAATCATAATGGTACTTATCTAGTCCAACCATTCAAACAAAACATCCCTAATGAAACACACTTATTTATCCTCAGGTTTTATTCTATTCAAAGATTTTTTTTTTTTTTAATTTAAGGGAGTGTGTTTGCTACATTCTCTCTGCCCTATCAAAGTTGCTGTTAAGGTAAAGGTAGGATGGTGCCGGTCACCTGCTCACATGACCAGCGGGGATCATCCGATCCTATGACTGATGTGCTCCTCTTGAACCCATCTTCTGTCTCTGGAACTGTTTGAAGTGATTTTTTTTTTTTTTCCTGTGCTGTGTTCCAGGTGCCGCTGTTCATCCCAGCATTGTTTTCCTTCACGTGTTTCTTCATGGTTGCCCTTTCCCTGTATTCGGACCCATTTAGTACAGGGATTGGCTTCATCATTACTCTGACTGGGGTTCCTGCATACTATCTCTTTATCATATGGGACAAGAAACCCAAGTGGTTTAGAAGAATGTCAGGTAAGACTTTTACAAAGTTTCAGGACCTCTTGAGGGACCATGTTGTGGAAAACCCATCTATTTGTACACCCACACCCCTTAAAGTTTAAGAATATAAGTAAGACAATTGCTAGTTTAAATACATTTTTGCATTTTAATTAGAACTAGGAGAAGAAAAAGCAGGAAGGATGTTTAGGGTACAGCCACTCAATCCTTTCAGGATATTTAGCTTGAGCTGCTCTAATCACTTCTTAAGAGAATAGTTATTTTTTTTAGATAGAATTTTATCAGCAGTTCTATAAATTACTTAATTGCTTTCCTGAATCCCTTACTAACCTAATTATTTTTTATTCTGGGTTGGACTCAGTTTATTGATTCTATATCATAACATGCTACTTGCTGAGTGACATGAGATTTGGTAGGGAGTGAGATAGAGACCCACAAAGGTCCTAAATATCACGATTATGACACAACCCTATTTAATAGGCATGGCAATTCACAGAAGGGTCATAAGAACAGCAAGAACAATGAAGAGAAGAATAGCAACTCATATTTATTGTGTGATTTCCATGTGTTAGCCCATATATGACCTTATTTAATCTGTATAACAACCTTCTGAGGTAGGAAAAGTTCTCAGCCCCATTTTATAGATTTTGAGTTATACTGTGGAAGAATTCATGTGACTTGTTTCAAGTCATGCAGATATTAGGTAGACCAGCTAGAATTCAAACTCAAGTAGTGTTGTATTTCATAAAAATCATCCTGGGTATAGTGAGGATGGGTTAGAGAGGGTCAAGGCTGAAGAGACTCAAGATTGGTAGTTACCACAGTAACCCGTACAAGGATTAAGAAGAGTCTGAACATGGACAATGCTGGCAGGGTCCAAGAGAAAGTGAAAGCTGTTAAAGAGGAAAAACTCAAAGGCCTTGGTGACCAGGTAAGTTGGGGAAAGAGGAAATATAGGCTATGGGTAGGTAGGAAGGGTGCTTAGGAGCAGCCTCTGTGGGAAGCCTACCCCTTTGTCAGGGGCTCAGCTGGGTGAGGCCTTTCTTCACACACATCATCTCATTCCATCTTCCATAAGCTCCCTGTGAGAGATAATGTTTGTTATTCCCATACCCGGTGGGAAACCAGGATTCAGGCAGATAGAGGATTTATCTTTGAGTGTACAGATTTTAAACCATTGAGCTAGGATTTGAACCCACATCTGCTGGACTTCAAAGTCCATGCTCTTTCTCCAGTAGGTGCTTGGGGGACAAGAGCAAAGTAAAAACCTGTAGCCAGAGGAACAGCCACGTTCTTGCTGGTGAGTTTGGTGAGTTTAGTGAGTTTAGAAAACAGCTATTGTTCTTTTCCTTCATTTTAATTTACTTCTTTAACCATAATTAATTTTTAAAGGCCCAGTAAGAAGTTCAGGGAGATTTCTGATATTTCCGGTAAAATGGTTAGTAAATAATGTCAGTGTTACTAAAACTAAAAAACAAAAAAGCCCGAAATATGTATACATATTGGCTCTCCAGTGTGCTACACAAACTCATTTAGAAGTCAGCCATTTCAAATAGGCTTTTGCTACTACTCTTTATTAGCTTTTAATTGGTATTTGATATCTTTAGACCTTATGCTACGATTTATATCTGAATTTTGTTTTCTAGCCAGCAACACTTACTCCCTGAAGAGGCATTACTCTAAAAGTTGGGTTCCTTAAGGCTAACACGGGCACGCTGATTGTCTGGCAGAGTATTTAATCTCTATTTCCTGTTAGATCACACTAGTTTTCTGCGGAATATTTTTAGTTACACTTTCTCTGTTGTAGGCAATAAAAATAGAGGCTTTCCTGAAAAGAAAAAAAAGAATATTGTTAAGCAAACTACCCTTAGGATTGCTGTCCTCATTACCAATGTTTGAGACATATTAGTGTTCATCATTGCGAGGTCTGTGTCTGTCTCAGATCCTGGCTAGAGACAGTTCAAAGCCCCGAGAGCCATGGGAAAGCAGGGCAATTGAGGAAGAGAGAGCTAGTAGCCCTAGAGTTGGACGATTATGAGGCAGAGCATGATGAGAGAGGAGATTCCGTGCTTTCTCCTGCGTAGTAGGCATTGTGCTCCTGCAGCTGGGAGGCAGCCAACTCTAAACATCCTTTCCCCTCGCTACCATGTACATATTTTGCAACATTTCTTTGTCAGTTTTCACACTTGATCCTTTTTTGATGGTTTTCCATGGTTATGTGATTTTGAAGTTTTTTGTTGTTTTTCTGTCTCTAATGATGTTTCACACATCTCCAAGGATTCCAAAGTTAGTGTAGCCATTTGTGAAAGCAGCCATGATGCGGTAGTCCCATAATGGTTATTTGGATCTCAAAAATGCCATTAAGTCTTACCAGGGAGCATGGCAATTCTGCCTTTAAACTGCGGGCCTTGTAACCCTTTATCTTTATAGCCGCCTTGAAAGTGAGTAGCAAAAAACAACAGTCCTCCATAATTTTGTTTGATTTTCCTCTTAGGCAGCATTCTTGTGGTAAAATAAAGAAAATTCATAATATTTATTGCTGCAATACCAAGTAGTTTCCTAGCCTTTGGCCAAAACAAAACTCTCATACATAGACACACAAACAGCGGAGTCCTGCCCACCACCTTGCCTCTTTTCCCAACTGCCTCCTTGTTAGGAAAAAGCTCAGTGTGAACTTGGAGAGCTTCATATCAGATTTTTGTTGTTGTTGTTGTTGCTGGGTAACATTCTCTAGACTTTCTATTATCATTTATTTTCACCCTGATATACAGGAACGGGTTAGCCTTCTGAAATGATAGTTGATCTCAATACATCTTACCTTAGGTGCTTTCACAGACTATGTGAGGTGACTGAACAGCCTTCAGGAAATGGTGAAAAGCTGCTTGGTACAGATAGCCAGGAATGTTCAGAACCTGAGGATCTGAGATTTTCAGAGATTTGATGAATTTCTCTGGCCACAGGATGCCAGTATTGAACCACGGTTTGTTTGATAGCATTCCTAGGGTGAAAAGAAAATGTGCTCTTAAGGGAATAGTCAGATACACAGAACACATTTTTCTGCCATCTGTGACAGAGTAGTGAATTTTTCTGGGTATTTATTTATTTATTTATTTATAGAAACATGAGCTTCTCACCCAAGGAAAGTGGGGCAGACGCCCCACTGACATACTCACTATACATGAGAGTAGCTAGACCTGGCAGGCTCTGGCCAGGGCTTTCAGTAGCTTTTGGCCTGGCTGCTTCTATTTATCAGCCAGACTGTCACAGCTGAGATGAGTGGGATGACTGGAAGCTGGTCCCTCTTGCTAAAGCAAGATATGGAGGACAGCTGCATTTAGGCAACATCTTTGATTACATAGAATCATACCGGGGAGCACCAGCAAAATGATCATAGTCCATCTCTATAGACAATGACTTTGTAATTCCGGGGTCCCAAAAGCATTATGCTGCTTATGGTGTATCATTGGTAACTTAGCTTCTGATACCTCACCGAAAGCTCCTTAATGCGTTTGGCTGGTTCTTCATGAAGTCTGCAGGGCAATATTTTAAATTAGTTAAGCTTGCCTACATCTCTTAGGGGCCTAAACCATCTTCATTTTAAGGATGAAATGAGACCATACATGTGAAAAGTTTTGGCAGCCTTTTAAAAAAAAACACATACTATTATTTTCATTATGACTTGTGGGGAAGATTGGTTTTGTGCTAATACTTCACAGACTTACTCAGCTTTGGCTATAGATCCCATGCTTGTATCAAGCGTGGTTGGGTAAATCAGATTTTGCAAGGTCAGTTGTTGTTTCAGCTGATTTCAAAAACTACTTTACTGCTGAAAAGTAAAACTAAAATTATTGCAATTGCTATTTGCTCTTGTAACTTGCAGTTACTGAAAACACCAAGTATAGACTCATTGGCTCAACTTTATTTAAAAGAATAGTATCATGGAGGGGCTCCTGGGTGGCTCAGTTGATTAAGTATCTTGTCTTCAGCTCAGGTCATGATCCCAGGGGCCTGGTATCGAGCCCCATGTGTGCTCCCTGCTCATTGGGGAGTCTGCTTCTTGCTCTCCCTCTGCCCCTCCCCTGCTTGTGCTCTCTCTCTCTCACAGTCTCTCTCAAGTAAATAAATAAAATCTATGAAATCTATATATGTAAAAAAGAAGAGTATCATGGAGTTGATTATCCCCAAAGTCAAAAGGCTTATATGAGCACAGATGCAGCTGAATACTACATGCGCCGCAGTTCTCCTGGGCAAGCAGGAAGCTTCCACAGAGGCTTATTTGGGTCTGCTGAGTACTCCTATCTGACCCCATCGCTGTAGATGACCTAGAAGGAAAAGCTGGTATAGTTCCAACAGCTTACTCATGGCCAAAATCAGTCACTCTAGCCAAACCTCCATTATGATAATTATTCAAATCTTGGGATCCCAAGAGAGAACATAGAAAAGTCATAGGAGAGAATGTAATAGGACTGATTGAACATGGAAGAAGAGAATGGGTGCACAGAACCAGAAAACAGATTCTTTGGCTCCATATGTACTGCTGAATAGAAGATCTAAATTGAGCTTTCAGAAAGGAGAATGTCATATGAGCAAAGCATCAAGCTCTCTAAGTTGCTCTCCTTTTCTCTGGAACTGATGCAGTATTGTGACATGGGTAAGTAAGATGTCTAAGAAAGCAAAGGGCTGGGGGTCCCAGAATACAGAAACAGACTTTTGGAAAAGGCTTTTGTTCAGAAGATACATGCCTGAATAGTCACACACACACACACACACACACACACACACACACACACTCAAAAGTCAGTCATTGTAGGGATTAGTTCAGGGAAGAAGAGATGGAGAGGATATAAATTTAATCCCAATGCTTTGCAATCGAGCATTGCAGATGCCTAAAATCTCTTACTGTTTCAACCTATCAGATGGCCCTGTCTCCTTCTCTGCTTACAAAGCCATATATCCCATACTATTGATACTTACTTTTCCACAGTCTATTTTTCTCAGATAATTTTACCACTTCC